GAGAACTGAAGGGCCTTGCAGAAGTCTTGGGCATGCCTGATGATACAGCAGGTGAACTGCTTAGTAAAGAAAGGAATATGGAAGTGAAATAAAAGTCTGACTTTTTCAGGACAAGCATCTAAAGAGAAAAATTAAATTCTGAGAACTAACTCAACCTATATGTTGCTGAAAATTGATAATTTTCTAGCTTACCCTTTGTTAGCACTCTCTTACTCATAGCCTTTCACAAATAGTTAGCACTTTGAAGGTTCTTACGAAATTTCTCTAAAAGCAAAAAGACATGTTTTTTTTAAAGGAAGACAAGAGTAAGATATAGAAGATGAAATTAAATCCAAAACCATAATCTCTAAATGGCAGGAGCTCACAAAGTCATGGATGATGGCATCAAGAAGCCAGAAGTAGTGGTAGGGTCACTTAGACAATACACAGAACTCCAGGAAGACCCGATCATCCCGCGAGAATATCCTCCTTTTCGTTCCCTGTCAAACGCCACTGCCCTCCCTATCAAAACTTACTACACAGATTTATCTACACCCTTTTTCATCTGGTGGCATAAAACAGTATCTCCCAACAAGTAGTGATTTTGCCCCCAGTGGACATTTAGCAATCTCAGAATTTTTTTTAATTTTTAAATTTCCATCCCTGGGAGAAGGCACTCTACTGACATCATGGACTTGAGATCAAGGATACTGTTAAACACCCTACAATGCACATATCAGCCTATACCCTACCAACAAAATATCGGGTCCAACATTGTACTGTGCCCACATGGAAGACGCACGCTAGCCTGTGTCATCACGAGGTGTTGACAGGATCAGACATCAAAAGATCCCAAACAAACAATTTCATCGATGTGGATGAGGGGGTTGCAGTGGGGACCCCATGCCCATCTTAGACAATTGGACGTCCCCCCAAGGAAGGGTTATAAGGAAGGGACGATTCAACCAAGGTGTAGCATAGCACTAACGGAATCACACATCATTCCTCTAGTTCCTGAATGCTTCCTCCCCCACTGCCATGATCCAGTTCTACCTTATAAATATAGCCAGCCTGGAGAGCACACAGTGGTACAGATAAGAGCTCTTGACACATGGAATTCAGGACAGATAAACCCCTCAGAAACAGAAGTAGGAGTAGCGATATCATGAGGGGAGGAGGGTAGTCAGGGAGGGGAAAGGGGGACAACGGGGGAACCCATCACAAGGTTGGATATAACACACACACACACAGAGAGGGGTACGAATAACAGAAAAGTGAGTGAAGAGGGACAAAGAACAGTGTAAGACATGAAAGAATAACAATATATAATTGATCAAGGATTCACAAGGGGGGGCGGGGCGGACAAAGGCACTTATACCAAGGGCTCAAGTAGAATATGTTTTAGAAATGATGATGGGAACATATGTGCAAATATGCTTGACAGAATTGATGTATGGAATGTAATAAGGTGCTCACTTCGGCAGCACATAAACTAAAATTGGAATGTTATAAGAACTGTAAGAGCCCCCAATAAAAATTATTTTTTTTTAAATGTGCTGTGACTGAGAAAACCCTGCTATAAAATATCATGGTAATCAAATAGATATAGCCTATCCATCATTCATTTGTCCATTAACTCATATATGCATTAAACCTACTCAAGTATTTAGCATGTCAGAAGACTATAGAAATGTTATGAACTAAAAATAAAAGCACACCCAAATGAATCTGTACATACATACATACATACAGTGTAGCAGGAATCTTGGAAAGCCAACATCTTCTCTGCACTGTGGGAAAGCGAGTAGCCTCATCTATCATATTGTCGTTCTTGTTAGGTGCCATTGATGCCATTCCAACTCATAGCGACCTTATTTACAACGGAAGTTAACTATTGTTCTTATATTTGTGCCTATTATTGCAGCCACTGTGTCAATCCATCTCAATGAGGGCACTCCTCTTTAGACTGCCCCTCTACTTTAATGAGCAGGATGTCTTTCCCCAGGAAATGGTCTCTCCTGACACACAGTATGTAAGATGAAGTCTCACCATCCTTACCTCTGAGGGGCCCTCTGGCTGTACTTCTGTCAACACAGATGTTTGTTCTTTTGTCAGTCAATGGGACTTTCCATGCTCTTTACCAACACCACAGTTCAAATGCATTGACTCTTCCTCGTCTACCTTGTTCAATAGCCAACTTTCAGATGCATATGAGCCAAGTGAAAATCCCATAGCTTGTCTCCTCAAAGTAACCTCCTTGCTTTTCAACACTTTCAAGAGAATCTGTGCAGATTTACCTAATTTGAAACTTCCTTTGATCTCTTGACTGCTTCTTCCATGAGCATTAATTGTGGATCCAAGCAGCAAGACAATATCCTTGACAACTTCAACTTTTTCTCCATTTACCATGATTTATCATTGATTTAGTTGTGAGGATGTTGATCTTAACACTGAGTTGTAATCATACTGAAGGCTGCAATCCTTGACTCTCAGCAGCAGCTGCTTCAAGTCCTCCTAGCTTTCAGCAAGCAAGGCTGTGTCATTTGCATATCAGTTTGTTAAAAAGCCACCCATCAACCCTGAGAATTCATTCTTATTCGATTCCAGCTTCTCTGATTATTAGTTCAGCATATAGACTGACTATGTATAGTTGAGAAGGTGCAACTTTGACACATACCTTTCCTGACTTTAAACTAAGCAGTATTCCCTTGTTATGTTCACACAACTACCTCAGGTACAAGCTCCACGTGAGCACAATGAAGTGTTCTCGAATACCCATTTTTCTCAAGGTTATCCATAGTTTGCTATGATCCACATGGCTGAATGACTTGGCATAGTCAGTAAAACACAAGTAAATATCCTTCCTGGTATACTCTACTTTGAGCCAGGATTCATCTGACATCAGCAATTATATCCCTTGTTCCACATTCTGTTCTGAATCATGTCTAGACATCTGGTAGTTCCCTGTCAATGTATTACTACAACCGTTGTTGGATGATATTCAGCAAAAATTAACTTGCATGTGATATCAATGGTATTGGTCTATAATTTGAGCATTCTGTTGTGGATCACCTTGCATTGGAATGGGTACAAATATGGATCTCATCCAGTCAGTTGGCCAAGGGGCTGTCTTTCAAATTTCCTGACATAGATGAGTAATTACTTCCAGGGCTTCATCACTTGCTGAAACATTTCAATTGGTACCCCACCAATTCCTAGAGCCTGTTTTTGGCTAATGCTTTCAGTGAAGCTTGAACTTCTTTCTTTACCACCATTGGTTCTAGTTCATATGCTACCTCTTGAACTGGTTGGATGTCATCTAGTTCTTTTGGGTACAGTGGCCCTGTGTATTCGTTCCTTCTAGTTTTTATACTTCCTGCATCATTGAATATTTTGTCCATGTAATCTTTCAATACTGCAGCTCGAGGCCTGAAATTTTTCTGGAGTTCTTTCAGTTTAAGATGTGCTGAACATGTTCTTCCTTTTTGTTTTTCTAACTCTAAGTCTTTGCACACTTCATTATAATATTTAACTTGTTTTCTTGAGCTGCTCTTTGAAATTTTCTTTTTTTTATAGTTAAATTGCTTTTTTATTTTTTTTAATCATTTTATTAGGGGCTCATACAACTCTTATCACAATCCATACAGACATCAATTGTGTAAAGTGCATTTGTACATTCATTGCCCTCATCATTCTCAAAACATTTCCTCTCCACTTAAGCCGCCGGCATCAGGTCCTCATTTTCCTCCTCCCTCCCCACTTCCCCCTCTCTTCTTTGAAATTTTCTGTTGAACTCTTTACTTCATCATTTCTTTCATTTGCTTTAGCTAGTCCACCATTAAGAGAAAGTTTGAAAATAATGATGGCAACATATATACAAATATGCTTGATACAATTGCTGTATGGGTTGTTATAAAAGCTGTAAAAGCCCCCAATAAACAAAAAGAGAAAGTTTGAAAGTCTCTCCTGACATCCACTTTGAAAATGTCTTTCTTTCCTGTCTTTAAATGTTGCTCTGCTCTCTTCGTCTATGGTGCTCTTACTGTCACCCTACAGTTCATTAGGTCTCCGGTATTAGTGCTCAGTGACGCAAGTTTGCTCTTGAGATGGCGGCAAAATTCAAGTGGGATATACTCTTGGTCATATTTTGGCTCTTGTGGACTTCTTTTCATTGTTGTGACCTTCAACCTCAACTTACATATGACTCCCAGGGAATGGACAAGGATTATTATCTTTACAGGTTGGATTCCATCTTTCAAATTTTTCTAATCAGAATTCTGAACTCACATAAAACTGCTATACTACTTTCTATAGCTTTCTCTGGCCCTTCTCAATTTATTACAATATGAGAAATGCTCACAGGTAGAGCAGCATAAATTCTGAACAACGGCTCTATCAATTCCACGGCTCCAAGAGAATTTTCTCACCCAGGGAGAGTACTACTGAAACAACATTTGATACTTCACTGTTGGATGAAGGAAAGTTTTGTTTGGTTTTTACAACCAAGCTTTTGCAGATATAAAGGGAGGCAGAGAGAGTCGTTATACTTTTACTTTTTGGAAACTATGTTATTAATGTACTAAAATTGACTGCAATATATGTCTATAAAAAGGTTTCATAAATGTTTAATATATGCCTCACTATATTAATATTTAACATCCCTATTCAATGGGCTAACAATATCACTTAATAGCATGAGATAATTTAATATTAATATTAGCAGCAACTTATTTGAGATTTAGTTTAAGAAACTAGTTTTTGTTTCCACCCATGTCAATAACAACCAGAGGAGGCAGAGAAAATGCAGAAAAGAGGCTAAAGTTCTAAGGTGAAATATGAGTCACATTTATTCTCCCAGCTGGCTAGAGAAGATTAGTTAATAAGGAGATCTAAATTCAAAACATCAGACCAAATGAAAATGTCTCCATGAAATTCACTGCATGCAAAAATAAAACTAGAGGATTATAGAAATGTAATTTGTGCTTATGGGAAACAAACAAACAAACAAAATCCCCACAAACCTAAATCCAGACTGCTTTCCGTTAACGAATTGAGATTTTCCAGATCGTCAAAGCTGCCTTGTTGGCTGTTGGCTTCAGTTGAGGTTATAGAGGCTAGAAGATCAATGCCAAAATTTTCTTTCATCTGGAGAGGAAGAAAAATAGAAATGCATTAGTACTGAACACGCAATGTTGCTCAAACAGATAATAAGGACAGTGGAAAATTGGCTCTGCAAACAGGCATTCTCAAGGAACAGTTTATACTGTGGTAAGTAGTAACAAATGGTGGAAACTTAGTACCTACAAGAGTAGAAGCTAGCAAAATCTGCTTTTGTCAAACACTGGGGTTTTGGTTTGTTTTTAAAAAGAAACATATGAATATTAATAAGTGGATTTAAATAAACATTTGCCAAAAGATAAATGCTTTATCAAGTCAAAGTAATACATGATTTATGAGGTCCATTACTGACATGCACCCCCTGTGGGTGCAAAACGAGTTTGATACCTACACTTGCAAGCACGTTACCTGCTGATCCCAAAGTACTGAGTGAAGGTTGTCTCTACCTGTCTAATCAAGCAAGCCTAGAACTGGCAGATGCAGTCAACAGTGAGGTTTAAAAGTTCCAATTTGCCAGAAGACACAATTCTTACCTCAGTATTTTATTAGGAGTTTTTTAGTCTTTATTAGCAAACATTTAAATAATGTTATATTTACAATATGGATATACCAAACATCACTTAACTTTTATTATTCTCTATTGTTGGAAATTAGCATTGTTCACAAGGGGGAAAAAGTGAATTATAACTCCTACATGTTATACATTTTCCCCAAGTTTTACTGTTCAGACTTCAGTGGTAAGCTCTTAGAACCAAACTTTTCCTGAACAGATTATGAATATAGCGAAGTTTATTACAGTCTTAGAAATCTTACAGTCTTTATTACTTAATGAAATGTAGAGAATGCACAATTTAATTCAAATCTTCAATAGGGGTAAGAAAGAAGATATAACTACACGACTGTCTAGATATAAGATGAGTGGAGAGGGAAATATGGAGGAAATGATAGGAACTAATGAACTGTTTTAAGGACGCTGGTGGCATGGTGGTTGCCCGTTGGGTTGCTAACAGCAAGGTCAACAGTTCCAACCCACCAGCTATTCCATGGGAGAAACACTGGGTTTTCTACTCCTGTAAAGAGTTAGTCTCGAAAACTACAGGGCTCATTCTACCCCGTCCTAAAAGGTTGCTAGGCATCAGAACCGACGTGATGGCAGTGAGCTTGGATTTTGTAGGAATGCCCATTAGCAAATAAAGGTCCCAATGACTTTGACTTTGTAAGTAACTACTTTAACAGAAAGAAGACCCATTGGCCCAACGGCTAAGAACTCTGCTGCTAACTCAAAAGTCAGTGGTTTGAATCCACCGGCAGCTCCACAGAAGACAGACCTGGCGATCTGTCCCAGTAAAGATTTGAGACACTGTGGGGCAAGCTTCCCTGCCTTGTAAGGTTTGCTGTGAGTCCGAATCGCCTCATGGCGCCCAGCAACAGCTAGCATTTAAAAAGAAATTTAAAGTAATGTTTGGGGCATTTGGTTATTAAGAAAAAGGTAATGGTGGTCAACAAGTTGAAGAATAAGAGAATAACACCTGAACCAAGGATTTCAATTGAGTAGATATGAATGCTTAGCAGTGGTTCTCAACCTTCCTCATGCCACAGCCCTTTCATACAGTTCCTCATGTTGTGGTGACCCCCCCCACCATAGCATTATTTTCGTTGCTACCCCATCACTGTCGTTTTGCTACTGTTAGGAATCTGGCGACCCCTGTGAAAGGGTCGTTCAACCCCCAAAGGAGTTGTGACCCACAGGTTGAGAACCGCTGGCTTAGAACTATAGAAAAACTATTAGAAAAACGAGTTCCTCTTTGTTTCCTCCCAATAAAAACAGGAAATATTATATCCCCAGGGAGAAAAAAATCCCCAGGCAAAGAGAACCAGTTTGTAAACAGTCATGGCTTCATTCTTTAACTAAAACGGGATAGTAGGAAAGTAGAAAACATCTGAAGGAATTGAGTACTATTGGCATTTGTACATAGATATATCTGTAATTGAAATATCTCCCACCAAAGAAAGTGATAATGTTCTTCTAGCCTTCTGGATGTTGGTAGATTCCTTCAGTTTCCTCGTTAGCTTTAGCGGTTGATGCATAAATTTGAATAATGCTTGTATTCACTGGATTTCCTTGTAGGCGGCTAGACAGTATCCTATCATAGACAGCATCAGACTTCAAAATAGATCTTTTTTTACTCGTTTTGTTAGGGGCTCATACAACTCTTATCGCAATCCATACATACATCAATTGTATAAAGCACATTTGTGCATTCCTTGCCCTCATCATTCTCAAAACATTTCCTCTCTACCTAAGCTCCTGGCATCAGCTCCTCATTTTTCCCCTCCCTCTCGCTCCCCCTCCCTCATGAACCCTTGATAATTTATAAATCATTGTTTTGTCATATCTTGCCCTGTCTGACGTCTCCCTTCACCCACTTTTCTGTTGCCCGTCCCCCAGGGAGGAAGTCACATGTAGATCTTTGTAATCAGTTTCCCCTTTCCAACCCACCCTCCCTCCACCCTCCCAGTATCGCCACTCACACCACTGGTCCTGAAGGGATCATCCACCCTGGATTCCCTGTGTTTCCAGTTCCTATCTGTACCAGTGTACATCCTCTAGTTTAGCCAGACTTGCAAGGCAGAATTCGGATCATGATAGTAGAGGGGGGAGGAAGCATTTAGGAACTAGAGGAAAGTTGTATGTTTCATCGTTGCTATATCGCACCCTGACTGGCTCGTCTCCTCCCCGAGACCCTTCTGTAAGGGGATGATGTCCAGTGGCCTACAAATAGGCTTTGGGTCTCCACTCCACACTCCCCCTCATTCACTATGATATGAATTTTTGCAAAATAGATCTTGAAATCTCCCTTTTTGACAATGAACTTGAAGGCTTCCTCTAGAATCTATCAATTCTGCATAGTAACCATATGATTTTCTCATTCAAAATGGCCAACACCAATACATTTCAGCTCAATGATGGCTAGGATATAGGTCTTTATGCATTCCATTTCATTTTTGACAACTTCCAGTTTTCCTAGATTTATACTTCATACATTCCAAATTCCAATTACTAACAGATGTTTTCCGATTTTTACTCTCATTTTGAGCCATACCCCATCAGCAAATAAGGTTCCTGATGACTTTACTCCATTCCCATCACTACGGATTGACACAGAAGCTACAACCGTGGGCTCAAACATAACGATGAGGAGGCTGGGCAGAAGTTGGTTATTTTCATACTTTTGTACTTAGGGTCACTATGTACACATGTCCCACTTTTGTACATAGGGTCACCCTGAGGCAGAACTGAGTTGACGACACCTAACAATGCCAACAAGCCCGCAGGAGGGCACCCTCTAAGGAAGGATGGATTGGGAGGTCTATCTTTGCAAGGCACTTGAAGACATTCTTAAAATTCACTGTAACATTAGATAATAAATTAGTCTTTTGCGGGTCCTCAGTAATGTGTTATTGCTACTTGCCAGCGGTTGATTCCAACTCATGGAGACTCCCATCTGTGCAAATAACTACTCCATAGGCTGACCTTTCAGAAGGGGATAACCAGATCTGAGCTGCCTCTGGTTGGGTTTGAACCTTCAACCTTTCAGCTAATAGCCAAGCACTTAGCTATGTGAACCACCCAAGAACCCCTGCAGAGGTAATGAGTGGAGGACAAATAAGGTTGCAAACTCATCCTGATCCTGTGCCACCAAGTATGTGTAGCTGTCAGAATGAAGGCACAGTGGGGGAAGATAGATAAAGAAGAGTTAATGTCCAAAGCAAGAACATATAAGTACTCCTAAAAAGTCAAGTTATTTTAAGCAAGACACGTTAGGTTTGAAACAATCAAGATCAATGTCAGCACGGATAGCCCAGAGAAGCTTTTGCACAGAATCAGTCATGGAAAATGAAATGAAAGGAGCTAGGAAATTTGGTACTTTAGTAACACAGATTTAGTAATTAGGATGAACATCCTTCAGATTGCAAGTATTGAATGTTGCTATAAACAAGTCTTTTAAAGCACTTTTTAACAAACAGTACCATAAGTGGTTGCACTGTGAAAATCACCCATATCACCTTTCAAAGGGATAGGGGCATGGGGAAGAGAGGAATGTTACACACAAACGAGACTTGCAATCGGGATAAAACTGCTAACCTCAAACCATCTGGATGGAAATGAAGATGAAGTGTTGGAGACTTGTATTGAATGATTCAAAAGTGATTCCAATGATAATGTAGACACTAACACTAAATATGCTTTTTAAGAATCTGAGTAAAATCATGGCATAAAATGTGTCCTATGGCAAACCTATAGGACAGAGTAGGGCTGCACTTTTGGGTGTCTGAGGCTGTAAATCTTCACAAGAGCACAAAGTCCCCCTTTTCTCCTGGGGAGTGGCTGGTGGGTTTCAACTGCTGCCCTTGTGGTGTGCAGCATCAAGTGTAGCCCCCTACAACACCAGGTCTCCTCTGAAAGCCTGGATTAAACGATTCACTAATTGTTTGTTTTTCAAAGATGCATAACGTGGGACTAGGAAGGAAAGGGTAGAAAGTTGTGGTGAGCACGCTGTGGTGCCTTACCATGTCCTCAGGGCTGTAGCCATACTGAAGGGTCTCCTGGGTGTATGCACTCATCATGGATCTTGCTTCTGCAGGCTCAGCTGATGTGTTATCATGTAACCACTGTGTACCAAAGTGAAGATCTTCCACGGAGGGAACAGGAGTGGCCTCATGAACATGTGGCGTGGAATACAACTCCATGGACTGCAGATGGTCTTGATACATCTCATATTCTTCATCAACAAGCATTTCTCGTTCTTCACCCATCATTCTAAGAGGCAGGAAGGGATGCATCTCCCAGGCCTCCTTGCTGGTGTCAATCTCTTTTTGTTGGGACTGGAAAGACTTTCCCAGATCTAGAAAGGGTTCATCCACCAGTTCTTCTTTAAAATAGGGTTCATCTCTAAATTCCTGTAAAAACCATTGCAAAAAAACGTAATCAATACACGTTTCAAACATATAATATGCACATTAACTGGAAAATTAAACCACTAACAGGCTGAATGTCCTATCCTTACATGCCAGTGATATTTAACATAAATGGCTTTTATTATAGATGAGGAAAAAAAGTCAGCTCAGGTTCACACGACCTACAAATCAGGAAATGGACACAGTAAAATAAGGCAGAAATTTCCCCAGCAAGGTAAATAAATGATTGTTCTAGAAGACTCATTATTAAGATTCTCTATCCAAAATAGCACTTTTGTTTAATTGCAGTGAATATTTAACTCAGCCATCTAATATAAAAGTACATAAAAACAGGTGTGTCTCATATGATTACTTAAGGAAGAGTTAGAAGGTCAGAATTTTTTAATCATAAGCATCTCTGTAGACATTAGATAACTCTTTCAATGTTCTAAAGTCATTCTCTATAAACTAAAGATATGCAGCCAACCTCTTTAAGCATCACAACTTTTTTTATAACATACTACATTTTTTCACTTTAGATTGAAAATACATCTAGAAATGAATGTAGCATTTTCCAGTGGATTTCTATTTTTACTAATCAGAAGAGCAAATACTTGTAACGTAAAGTCATACATGTGTAGAACATTTTTGGAGCTCTGGAAAAATGCACGACGAATATATGTCGAGAGGGCTCTATCTAACCATAGAGACCCTCTTGGTCCTGGGCAAGTAAGAGTGCTGTTACTGCTCTTGTTAGTTCCCACCCAGTTGATTCTGGCTCACTTAACCCCATATGCACAGAGCAGAACTGCTGCATAGTTTTCATGGTTGGGACTGTGGGAGTCACCTTACAAGGCTTATCTTCTGAGGCATCTCTGGGTGGGTTTGAACTGCCAAACTTTTACCTATTAATCAAGTGCATAACTACTTGTGCTACCCAGCAAATTCTAGGAGTGGCTCCCCTCCTCCCCACTCCTTCCTTACCAGCAGCAGCCCATCACTGGGGACAACCTTTTCAAATTACGATCATATCCCAAATTCTACAGCTTGATTATCTCAAACAAATGGTGGTTGAAGGGTACACATGAAAATGTCATATAGTTATAAAATTTTGACAAAGACATCTAGAGTAAAAAAGTTTTACAGGAATACATCCCAACTTAGAGCACTGTCCAAACGTTATACAAAAGTTACCAGGATGATACACTAACCACAAAGAGCAACACAACCACAATTTACATGAAAGGACAAAAGTTAAATATTTCCAACCATGCTTTCTACAATTAAAGCACAAAGGATGGTTTTGCTAAATAATTCCTCTCTTTAGAGGGTATTTAATGTTAAATTCTTTATTTTGGCTCCATATTCTAGAGATTTTAAACATAGGCCTGGTTTCAGAATCCTCTTGTACCCTAAAATTTTATAAATATACTTTAAAAATGCATTATACTTAGTATGTGCCATGATTAGAATCAATGTGATACAGAAGGGAACAGGATTTCATTGTTTTAAAAATAAGGGTGGGGGGTGTTTATTTTGTTTGTATCTAATACATAGTCAAGGCAATGGAAACAAGTGTTTGTCATCTTCCCAGAAACCTTAGCACAAAGAAAATCATCCAAATGGAGAAGTTAACAGAGACCTTGGGTGCTTCGAGAATAAAGCGTGGATCTGCATCATTAACTGCTTCTGAAAATCCAGTCTCATATTCATTATTGCCTGGATGTAAAATATGATGACTCTGTTCCTCTTTGCCGTCTTCCTGAAGAAAAGGAAAAAAAAAGAGAAACTTTAATTTTTAACTCTCTTCAGATTACGTCTCACCAGTACATTAAGTGCAAATAGACAGAACAATGTATGCACATTGTTTCATTGAGGCACACTTTTCTTTAATAATTAAAAAGAAAGTTGTATTCACGGCAGACCTTCTCAAACTTCTCTCATATTTTCTTTCTGATTTCTTAAAAGGAAAACAAATCACTTTACTAGGGGAAAATCCTTAATATTAAGATATGTACATGCATACAACCAAAACCCCACTGCCAACTAGTCACATTCCAACTCATAGTGACCTTGTGGGAGAGAACATTCAGCCAAATAGGGTTCCCACGGTTGCAATTCTTTATGGAAACAGACTGCCACACCTTTCTCTCTTCCACAGAGCCAGCATTCCATTCCAACTGCTGACCTTTACCTTTACATTGAGCAATGTAATCCGTGTGCCACTTGGGATCCTTGCATTAGTATCTATGAGGGGACTTCAAAAAGTTAGAGGGAAAATGGAATTGAAAGATAATGGAATTTTTTTCAGGAAATTTTTGAAACCTCTCATACCATCAAAGCCAACTGTAGGATATTGCATAGTACTTAGTATTGCTATATACTACAAAAAGGGAGCCCTGACGACGTAGCCGTTACCATATGGGCTGCTACCTACACACAAGGTCAGCAGTTCGAACCCCCCAGAAGCTGCTCAAGAGAGAGATGGCATTTTCTACTCCCGTACAAAGGTACAGGTCTCAGAAACTCGCTGCCCTGTCCTATAGGCTCACTATGCCTCAGAACTGATTCAATGGCAGTGAGTACAGGTGACGAGTCAGACTTGGTAGTGCAGTAGTTAAAGCATTCTGCTGCTAACCAAAAGATCGTGGGTCTGAATCCACCGGATGCTCCTCGGAGTTTCTGAACTGAATCAACTTGACAGCAGTGTGTCAGAGACTTTTCTGCTTGAAATGTCACAATCTAGGTAAGTACTTTATTTCAGCTTCATTTTCACAACAATCCCAAGAGGTCACAATTTCACATCCATATAAAAACAGCAAACCGAGAGTGTGCAAGCTATGTGTCAGATGCAGGTTCAAGCACTTTAAGTCTATTAATTCATTCAGTCCTTGAAATCGCTCTGCTCTTATTAAACCAATTTTATAAATGGGGCACAATCTGTCTAATGTTGCATAACTAGCTATCGACGTGCACTCGGTTGTCTGACTCCAGCACTTGAATTCTTGGCCACCTTCATCTTACAGGATATGATGAAGATGGCAGTTGGTGAGGTTAAATCACAAGTGCAAGGGCATATAGCTAATGAGCAGTAGAGCCAAGCAAACCTCCCAACCAACTGATTTAAGAGCTCCGTCACCAGCTCTGCAATGCTGGTCCTCAACATACAAAGCAGATTTCACAGTGAGTTCACCCGTTTTTCACATCTGACTTTGTAGAAAACATCCATTTTTTGATAAGTATTCTAGCATTTTCATGTGTGTCATCAAGTCAATTCCACCTCACAGTGATCCCATGCTCCTTAGCGGCACGGATGGCAAGACTTGGTCTTACACACTTTGGACATGCTGTCAGGAGAGCCCGGTCCCTGGAGAAGGGCATCATGTTTGGTAATGCAGAGGGGCAGTGAAGGAGATGGGCCCTCTAGAAGAAACACTGACAATGGGCTCAAGCTTAGGAACAATGCTGAGGATGAAGCAGGCCTAGCAGTGTTCTCCCTGCTGTGCATAAGGTCGCTGTGGGCGGGAATCGGCTGATGGCTCCTAACAACAGCAGTCCTTAGAGGAGCAGAGTCAGGTTTTCCCCCCATGGAGCAGCTGGGTAGATTTGAACCACCAATCATCTAGTTACTAGCCAAGCACCTAACAATTGAGCCACCTGAGCTTCTTATGAAAATGTTGCCATCTCTGTAACACTGTTCTTGATGAGAAGTATTTTTCCCTCCGGTAATATTCATAGTCTTTCCTCTCCAACCTGACCTGGGTTCTTCTTTTTCAGACCCTCTCTACCCTCACTTCTGCGACAGACTCTTGAGAAAATGTTCTGTAAACACTTGTTGATGATCTAAGTTGCTACCAAGCATACCCTGAAAGAAAGGAAGAGCGTGGGACAAAAGGAGATATATCAAAGATCCACGTCTGCTGGCCTACATTACTATTTACAACTCCTCAACAGCCTTGCTGAAAGAACCCAGATGTTGAAGAAAGAATTACTTAGTGGTAAAAAGCCTTGGTAGGGACCTCCCTCTCTGTCCCTTTACTGGCCTCTAATTCCCAAGTACACTGGCAACCTCGGGCGCACAGAACCTGGGCACAGTTCCACCCCCAAGTTATGATCTTTCAAAACAGTCTCTGAGGAGCGCGCCAGGGTTTGAGGTTTCTGTACCTTTGCCTCTGCCAAAATAGAACAAGAATCCACACCCTGTTGGTACTAAGTCCTGTTTTCTAAACTACACGAAACATCTTAAAACTGCTGCAAGGTAAGGTCATATGGTCATAAGGTCATACTGAACAGAACTTGTTGGGATTTACCCCATGCAGCACAGATAATCAAGAAAAGTCTACAAAGTTCCAGCAACACCCAACTACTGAGGAGATGAGCTACTCATATAATATCGTTTGCTACTCCTTAGTTTGTGCAAAAATCAAACTCTGTGTTTTATGGTATCTGTTTTAGCTACGATAAAACTGAAACACCAAATATGCAATAACAACTCTTCAATCAAGAACTTGCCTTAGTACATGTAGAATTAGTGAGCTAGGCTACATTTTACTGTTTAGATACTCAATAATAAGTAAATAAATATATTGTCAAATACCTGATAGTGAGCTAGGCTACATTTTACTGTTTAGATACTCAATAATAAGTAAATAAATATATTGTCAAATACCTGATAGAATACACAAGGAGTCCTGGTGGCACTGTGGATTAGGAATTGGATTGTTAACCACAAGATCAGTGGTTCAAACCAACCAGCTGCTTTGCAGGATTAAGTTGAATCTATTTGCTTCTGAAAAGACTTACAGTCTTAGAAACTCTATAAAAAATGACTCAATGATGTTTTTTGATAGGATACACATAGTATGAAATTTTTTTAACCAAATCCCTGTGAGTGAATGAAACCCACCAGCCACTCCCCAGGACAAAGTTGAAGCTGTCTATTCCTGAAAAGATTCAGAGTCTCACATGTAGAATTACCATATGCTCCCATGAGGATGGTTCATAATGTTCCCCAATAAAAGGATAATGATCACTCTAGAGTGGACCAAAGACATACATCAGCGAGAAAGACATGAATGGATTTTGAGCTCACACTTAACTGTACCCCTAATCTAAGAACAGTTAGTTCTTACGTAGTGACCCTGTAGCACTCCAGCCAGCTGGGAGCTACCTGAGATGCACAGATTAACTACTCCAGACATACGTTTGGGTCGTGAGGGAAAGAGAGAGGTACTCAGGTGAGAGAAGACCTCCCAAGCTTCTCTACTTGCTAGTTTTAGTAACACACCAAAGGAGGGCACGATAACTTTAGTGTCAAGATGTTCTCAAACTATCAAAATCTTCTCCCACTTAAATTCTGACCTCACGGAGGATTCCTGTTTACAATAAGAGATGTCTTCTTCACTCAACAGTTGCCCCAAGTTCCTGGCACATTCAGTCACGCATTCAAGGTTTAATCAAAGTTTCTGCATCAAGTAACCCTCCAAAGGGAAACAGAGCAATGACTCTCTATGTGGCCTCATGAAGTGATCACTGAAGATATTTGTGCTATAGTAAAGTGTTGAAGAAATCAGCTGGTGCCCAGCTATCAAAAATAAATAAATAGTGTCTCGAATCCTAAAGACTCGTCTTAAAACAATTAGTCAGCTAAGTAAACTGTCAGCAACATCCACAAAGAAGAAACATGCCAGCTTGTGTGATCCAAGGATTATAAATAAAATCCAAATCTGGAGGAGGGAACAGTACCAGAGCTTAAATTTGGACACCCAGTTTGCAGAAGTCTATGGATGACAGTGAAAGCCCAGAATCCACCTGCGGGGTTCCCACATGGTCTAAGACTCCAATGACATCCTCGGACCCCTGACAGGGATGTACATAGACTTCCTGTCAGACAGAGGACATTGAAAAGTGGACTCATGCAGGTGTTGTTAGGTGCCATTGAGGTAGTTCCTAAACATAGCAACCTGATGCACACCAAAATGAAACACTGCCGAATCCTGTTCCATCCTCACAGTTGTTCCTATGCTAGATTCCACTGTTAACAGCCACGATGGCAATCCTTCTCCTGGAGGGTCTTCCTCTCCTTTGCTGCACCTCTACTTTACCTTCTCCAGGGACTGGTCTCTCCTGACGACATGTCCAAAGTATGTAAGGCAAAGTCTCAGCATTTTTGCCTCTAAGGAGCACTCTCACCATACTTCTTCCAAGACAGATTGGTTGGTCCTTTTGCATTCCAGGGTACTTTCAATATCTTTCTCCAGCACCACAATTCAAATGCAATAATTTTTTATTCTTCTTTCTTCAATTTCTAATTTTACATGCATATGGGGGGAGTGAAAATATGACGGCTGGGGTCAGTCTCACCTTAGTTCTCAAAGTAACACCCTTACTTTTCAGTACCCTGCTGCAGATTTGCCTAATACAACACATCTTTTGATTTCTTGACTGTTGCTTCCACAAACATTGATTGTGGATCCAAGCAAGACAAAAATCTTTGACTTCAACCTTTTATCCATTTATCAGAATGTTACCTATTGGTCCAGTTGTGAGGATTTGGGCCTTCTTAACAGTGAGTCAAAATCCATACTGAAGTTTGCAAACCTTGATCTTCACCAGCAAATGCTTCCAGTCCTATGGGCTTTCATCAAGCAAGGTTGTGTCATCTGCATATCACAGTTTGTTAACAAGCCTTCCACCAACCCTAAGACTTCATTCTTCTTCATAGGATCCGGTTTCGTGTATTATTGGTTCAGCATACAGATTGAATAAGTATGGTGAGAGGATACAACTCTGATATACACCTTTCCTGATTTTAAACTATGCAGTATTCCCTTGTTCTGTTCACAAACTAACCCTTGATCCATGTGCAAGTTTCGCATGAGCACAGTGAAGTGTTCTGGAATTCCCATTCTTCTCAAGGTTGCACACAGCTTGTTATGATCCACATAGTTGAATGCCTTGGCAGAGCCAATAAAACACAAATAAACACCTTTCTAGTATTCTCTGCTTTGAGCCAAGATCCATCTAACATCAGCAATGATATCATACATTGCTTCACATCCTCTTTTGAATTAGGCCAAGACAGCTGGCACTTCCTATAAATGTACCCCTGCAACTGTTGTTGGGTATCTTTAGCAAAATTTCACTGGCATTTGATATCAGTGATATTGTTATATAGTTTGAACCTTCTATTGGGTCACTTTTCTTTGGAATGGGTAAACAGATATGGATCGCTTCCAGTCAATTGGCCAAGTAGCTGTTTTCCAAATTTCCCGGCATGAATGAGTAAGGGTTTCCAGGGATTAAGTGGTTTATTGAAACATTTCAATGGGTAATTCATCAATTCTTGGAGCCTTGTTATTGGCTAATGGTTTCAGGGCACCTTGAACTTCTTCCTTCAGCACCATGGTTTTGCTCATATGCTACCTCCTGAAATGGTGGAATGTTGACTACTTTTTAGTACAATGACTGTGTCTTCTTTGGATGCTTCCTACATCATTCAATATTTTACTCATGGAATCTGTCGATATTGCAACTCAAGGTTTGAATTTTTTCTCCAAGTCCTTCAGTGTAAGATATGCTATGTTTTCCCTTTTTGCTTTTTTAATTCTAGGTCTTTGCACATTTCATTATAATATTTGACATGGTTCCACCTGCCCTTTGCCATTTTCTATTCAACTCTTTGACTTCATCCTTTCTTCCATTTGCTTTAGCGACTCTACAGTTAAGAGCGAGTTTCAGAGTCTCTTCTGATATCCACTTTGTTCTTTTCTTTCTTTCCTGTCTTTTTAATGCCTTTTTGCTTTCTTCATGAATAATGTTCTTCATGCCCTCCCCCAACTCATCGGGTCTTCTGTCATTACTGTTCAATGTGTACAATCTGATCTTGAGATGTTCTCAAAATTCAGGTGGGATAGATTCAAGGTTGTATTTTGGCTCTCATGGATTCGTTTCCATTTTCTTCAAGTTTATCTTCAACTTAACATATGAGCAAATGATGCCGTTGGGTTAAAATTTAACACCTTATCATTTGATCTCCCTTTGACCCATTTTAAATTTGTTCTAATTTTACTATTTTGGGCTATCTTTTCAACTGAGGTTTTTCTGTTTTATTTTGTGGTTGTTGCTGGCTGTTTCACTTTTTGGTTTTGTTTTTCTTTGTGTCATCTTTTTAATACATTGAAACCAATGAATTGTATGATGTGTAAATTAAGTCAATAAAACTGTTATAATTTATTTTAAAGTTTTATAATCTCCAATATCCTAAGGAATATTTCTGTTCTACCATGTAGGGTTGCTATGAATCAGAATCAATACCATGGTAGGCATTTTTATGTGTATGTACACACACACACAGAGGTATGTATCCTTTAATATCAATGATCTATTATGAGGTTTGGACACATAAGCCAATTCTCTGTTGGCGAAGGACCCGCACTGTGCCAGTGGCGGCAAGGTCCCACATGCACTTTCCGGCCAGGTGACCAGGGAGGACAGCGGAAGGTGTCTTCACCTCAGACCAGCACTGGCCTGTATGCGAGCTATCTCAGCCAAGTGAGACAGCAACCGCACATAAGTTACCCATCACTGGTTCTGCTGGCATCTCGCTGATCCCTGCTGAGTCCAGAGAAGTGGGACAAGGAGCCATGAATCAGCACCAGGATTCCCTGCCCCTCCTTACTAGGGCTGGGGTAGTTTTGAGACCCAAAGAGCTAGTTCAAGGCAGATTCAATCTTCAGATCGTACAACGTAGCAAAATTCAACTGCACATGCCATCCTCCACTTGTGAATTCTGAGTTTTGTTTTTTATCCATCTTATGGGACCAGTAGGTATAAACTGTCAGAAAATGCCCAAATGTGTGAGTGCGTGTGCATGTGCATGAGAGAGAGAGAAAAAGAGAGAGAGATGGGCAGGTAGGTAGGTAGGTTTGGTTCACCCAGAGAGACCTCAGAAGATCAGTGATTGATAATCCTAGACATAGATCCCAAATAAATGAAAGCATATGTATTCATATTAAATGAATACAAATCTGTATTCATTCATTGTAGCACTTTTCACAATAGCCAAAAGGTAGAAACAACCAAAACTATCATGGACTGATCAATAAGCAAACTGTGGCACATAAACACAATGGAAGCCACTTAGTCGGCCTTATGGTTAGCAGCCCCGTGTGTCATCCAGGGCACCAGCATGCCTCTTATAGGTCTTATAGAACTACTGTAAGACCACTCGAACACGTGACAACTCATTACAGCAGAAAGAGGCAGCTATGAGGACAAGGTCTGAGGTCACATGGTAGGTTCATATTCCAACAAGCCCCCACCCCCACCCCGCTGACCAGTTATATGATCTTGGATAAGCTGTTCAACTCTGTGTTGGATCGACATTATCTATAGTGGGGGTGACCAAAAGTCAACCTTTTGTTGTGAGGATTGAAATAGTTGCTATATCTAAAGATCTGAAATAGTGACTGGCATATAATAAGACTTCAAAAATAGTAATACTTAAAGCAATACAATTTTCTTTAAAAAGTGACTTGATTGGGGGCTCTTATAGCTCTTAAAACATTCCATAACTATAATTTTAATATTACCATTTTTGTATTATTTATCAAGTAATATAATTTTTAATATCATCAAGTTTTATTTTATTATTGGCAAACCTCAAGAGCCCCTTAACTCTAGCATGGCTGTCTAACACTTATCAGTACTCTATCCCAGTATAGAAAATTAAATAATAGAACTACTATAAGACCACTTCATCTAAGTATTCTAGGTGATAAAAAATCTCATTGCCATATGATTAAAATATGATTAACCAATTATAATTTATTAAATGCTATTTCAACATAATTCTTCCCCCAAAAGAATATGTATCTATTTTAATTTAGGTCAGAAGGAATATGACAAGAACATAGAGGCAGTACTAAAAGCATGAAGATCAAAATAGTGCAAGTGGTGGTAGTAGGAATAGCTGTGTTGACAAGTTCATTTATATAACTGTGGTAGTTACACAATCTGCTGTCAATTTGAAAGGATTATGAGTGAAGGGGTGGAGTCTGGCTTGTGAATCACAATATAACCAATGAGGCCTCTGTGTGGGTATGGTCTTCTGAGAATTCTGGGAATTCCTATATTTCCTCCCTGGAGGCAGGAGACACACTCTCTCTCTCTGCTCACTCCCTTGGAGATGCTCTACTGACAAGACACATGGCACTACGCTGACAGACCCCATCCGTGCCTGGGAACTGGAGGAGCCACATGGAGAACCCTGCCAGCGCGGAGATGCTTACAACACCACCAGATCCAAATAATTTCTACCAACTGGCCTGCGATCGTCCCGCATTCAGCGTCATTGCATGTGCTTCCTGAGTTTGAAGAGGACTTTATAGATTGGTATCGGACATATGGGCTTGGACTGGACTGGGTTGGGATGCTTTCTTAATGTACAATTACCCTTTATATAACACTCTTTCTTATATTCATCTAAGTTTCAATGAATTTGCTTCACTAGTCTACCCTGACAAACACAGTAATATTGTGCTAAATGCTTAATATAATTTTCAAAACCTTTTGAGACAGAAAGTATATTTTCTGAATTTGGAAGTCAGGGAGCTTCAGAAACTCATCCAAGCCCACACAAAAAGGGAGCAGCTGAACAAGGATCCACAGCCAGGTGTTTCTGTTGTAACATCTGTATATCCTTAACTACGACACTGTCAAAACCACACTCAGAGCCACCAAGTCCATTCCGACTTGGCGCAACCCTACAGAACACAGGAGAACAATATCACTTAGCCCACTTTGGTTTCTGAGACTTTAAACCTTTGCAAGAGTAGGCAGCTTCATCTTTCTCCTGATTACCTGTTATAACAGTATATTAATAAAATGCAATGCTTACCACCAAAGGCTTGCAGATGCCAAGGTGTACAATCCCTGATGGAACTGCTTTCAGGATTTCCACAGATGCAGCAAGTGACAAGTTGTCCAAGGAGTGTTCATTGACTGAGACCAAGCGATCTCCAGGTAGAAGTTCTCCACTTCTGTCTGCTACGCCATCCGCCACCAGAGAACGAATCACGATCACTGACCTTGTAGAATCCAAGGGATCCTAAGAAGACACAAGGAAGAGAGATGGCTCATCCAGGAAACAAACAGGCTGTCTTAAGACAAGGCATATTTACTCATGCGTCTGATGTGGCCTCTGATTTAATTTGTCCAGCATTCTGGTAATATTCTTCCAGAATGGTTCCTTACAAAAGCACACAAATAACTGCTTGTACCAAGGTAAAGATAAAAGCTCAAGAGTTTCTACTGCATGTTTGAATGCTCAATATATAAAAGGTCCTTTTCCAAACTTTTGGTGTTTATCCACAAGAGGTTTAGGGAACACTGGGCAAGATCGGCAAGATCCTGTAATGTCCCCAAGCAGAGACATGCCATGGAGGAAAGCCAAAGCCCAGCTACTAGTCGACTACTCTTGGGCAATAACTGTGTTTCCAGAGTAGCATCCTGCAGAAAATCCTACTCCGCATCTATGTATTTCCCTAGTATACAACCCCACCACCCCATGCACTGAGGTTCAGAAAAATTCTACTCCACTGAAAACATACGTTTAATGTTGACTTTTATTTTTAATGTATTATTGAGATTTAATACATATATCATATCATTCCATAGTTCAATCAGGTCAAGTCGAATTGCACAAGCGCTACCACAATCCGTTTCCAGACATTTTTTTTCTACATGGACTCCTTGACGTCATCTCCCTTTTTGACCCCAGCCCCCAACCCCGCCAACCACTGTACTCCCCTCCCCTGAAGCCCTTATTCTACTTGCTGCCCCTTTGGGTTCATCAATCCTGGGTTTCATGTACTGGAAAACAGAAAAGCATATAACACAGCTTCAAGAGGGTGACCTCCAGCGACATAACACCTCTGAGCTATACCCTAAGGTGAACAACCAAAAGCCAAACATTTTCAAAGATGTTCTCACATAGCGTGACTTACACTTAGGACGTGGTGTGGGTTCCCTAGTGGTGCAGTGGTTTAAGTGGTGGAACAGAGAACGGGGGTGACTCTAGATAAGAATTATTCTATAACCCACAGCAAATCAAAACCCACCGCCATCAAGTCTACACTACAGGGCAAAGCAGGTCTGCTCCAGAGGGCTTTGAAGACAATAAACCTTCACAGAAACAGACTGCTCCTTCTTTCTCCCTCCAAGCCGCAGCTGGCTGGGAATCACAGACCTATCGGCTCACAGCTCAATGTTTAAACCTCCCGGGCCCCCAGGACTCGCCTGGCACACAGAGACATGCCTGCAAACATCTCTCATCACCCCCGCCCACCTCCAGCCTTGAGGGGGCTCATTTTTCAACTCAAAAAGCACTGAAGATAGCACTGGCATTCAATAAATATAACTAGTTAATAAAAACACCCTAAATTTAGAATCCAAATTAAGTGATTTTTTTTCTTTAAAAAACATTCCCATGATTCCTTTTCTTTTACTCGACAAACACTGATACTTAGCACTTACCTATGTCAAGCTCTCTTCTAAATGTTTGACAATCATAAATTCATGTAACCTGTATAGCAATTCCATTAACGTAGGTAAATTTATGGTCTGAAGTTTATCAAGAAGGAAACTGAGGCTTGGATACTTTGGGCAACTTGCCACGATCACTTAGCTGGCAAGTAACTGAACAGGGACTGAAACTCAGTCAGTCTGGCCCATAAATCCCTAGGCTTGAACTCCAGACTGCTGCCCCTTCCTCACTTCTGACGACAAAAGAAGAAATTGGACACGAAGAACTGTGAGTGAAGGAGTAAAAAACAAGTTCGCACTAAAATTTCATAATTAACATCTCCCTATTTTGCCCTAATAGTGGAGGTTCATGGTACGGATATGAAACTTCAAACCCACGGGGGAAAAAATCCCCAAACCAAAGCTCCATCACAACAGCATTGGCTCAGGTTAATGTATCCTGCTCCAATTCTCCGGTGATGCACACACTGTCCCACAAATAGCAACGTGGCTTCCATGAGGGGCCACCCTGCTCCCTTCTAATCGACCTTTTGCGAGAGAGTAGAGGGAAACAGGCAGGTTTCGTGTTTGAATGACAAGACTTGGGAATTAGTGAAATAAGATTTTGCCAAGTCCCAGCCGAGGGCTGTTCGAAGTGGCTGACGGTTCTTCTGCAGTTGCTTGATCCGGTCCTGCTCCACCACTGTGCTTGAGATGTGCACACTCACTTACCAAGTCCTGTGTGCATGTGTAAGCCAATGGACGACATTTCAAAGCAAGAACAGCACCACTCATTCACAGAAAAGTATCCTCACGCACAACCCATCTGGCTTTCCTTAACTAGCCTTCCTTTCCACCACCGAGGCAAGAGACTTCTAGGAATTCTTATGTGCTCTGATGTATAGCATCACATATTTATGAATAGGATTCGAATAAAAATATAGTCAAGAAAAGTCATTAATAAAGTACACAGTGTTGAGCTATAATTACACCACTATTTTCAAGTAGAGGGAGCTATTGCCTAGGAAGAGAACTCCCCCCCCTTGAGAAAATGTATAGCGGTATATCAGCAGGCAATCAGTGCGGTAATATAAGAGCTGTCTCTCTTGTCACCAGCAGCCATGAATCACAACGCGCTTTTCATTCTGAAATATGAAACCATTACATTTTAAGTTTGACACACTAATAAATAAGCTGTACAATTATGTCCTTCATTTAGGATGTCAGTTTTTGATGAAAGACTTTTTTATCGGGGGGAAGGGGAAACTGCATAATAGCTTATTCTCCTCACGGAACGCATGGAAAGCAGCTGTGTGCTTTATATTAATAATTACTTCGTATTAATAATTGTTCAACTTTCTGAGAGGAAAAGTGCAACAGTAAGAACGGTCTACCAAAAGAAACGAATGACTTCAACAGGCTGGTGTGAGCAATGTGCAGTGTCGAACAGAACCGCTGGCATCACGCTGCTTTTAAACTCGCCTAGGTGAGTGGGCTTGACATGATCACTGGGAACACTTTTAAAGGAAGATGAACTAGGAAATGATAAAAACAGAGCTCTCGTTGTACAGAGTCATGGTGTGCTCGTACATATACAGAGTACAGCCTTCTTTCGGCCCCTAACCAGTAGAAGGGGTGTTTGTGTGCTCACATTTATGCAGGTTCAGACTTCCATTTACTCCAAAGGCCAAACAGTATCTACCACTCCTTTTGTGGAGGACAGAGCTCAAAGGCAGTCTCTTTGTCACTTAAAACA